TATAACCTTGAAATTTCAGTATTACATCCACTTAATATTGTGAGCTGAGGAAACATAGAGCTGCATTTTATTATATGTAAAATATTTGTTATTTTCATTTCAAAATATCAACTATTTTATCTGTATAAGTTTATATTCATTATTTCATATTTAATGTTCTGATATATTTCATTTCTCCATTACATAAATTTTAAGGTGAGTCTAGGAGAGAATAAACACTATCAACAATAGCTGCAATTTCCAAACCTACGACTGGATGCCTTCTTTCAAATAACAACTGAAGTGCGGTAAAAATCGGTAGAACTGTTTCAAACACACCGTTGGTACTTGAGTGGTCGGCGTTCATCTCTTTTTGCCAGTGGTGGCGGGGGGGGGGGGTGACATCCACCTCTAAAGGGGGAGTTTGGTAAAGAGAGATGATAAAACCGATTTGTACCTTCCTAAAAAGTTGTCCTAGCTCGCTACCTACTCTCTATATGCAATTTTCATACTGCCGTACTCTAAACGGAACTATCAAATCTATACTTTCTCCTCCTCGTCTATCGTATAAAAATTACCACTTTAGTCTGTTATTTGAAATTAGCATCTTCAACTATGTAAATCATTGACTTCACGCAGAAGTAATACTAAACAATAGTCAAAGCACTATCATTTTCTTTATCCTACCGATTCGATTTTGGTGGTGTGAAAGTGTGTTCAAACTTTTGTTTGCCAGTAGACATTTTTAAAAATGCGTTTTTGCTACTTTACGACACTTAACTTTACAGCACTATTTATATAAAACAACTGGTTAATATTATCTACTCTTCACTCCAGCAGTACAAGAAACATATTCTAGTCATCTTTTTCTGAATATTCAAGATATTTGCATCAATGCACATTTTTTTTTAATTTGGCCCGGTCACAACCAAACAAAAATTCTGCATTGCACGACAAAACCCACTTTCAAGTTTCATAAAGTGCATAGATAGTTCAAACAGAACTTTATGGCTACTTTAAAAGCTATACAAATTATCCAAAAATTTGGCCATTAAACCGCATGATGGCCTCTTACAATCAATACTGCGAAACCATTGACTTTACAATGTCTCGGCATAAACTAAAACAATATTTTTACTCCATAACGCATTATGACTCATAAAAAATAGGAACGCTGACACTGCTTAATTTTTATTAAAGACAAAATTATACTTTTAACCTATTTTCCAAAGTTGACGAAATAAATAAATAAATAAATTTAAGAAAACAAAAATGTATTCGAATTATTCTAGTCTACGTTGGTTGACGAAATAAATAAATAAATAAATAAATAAATAAATAAATAAATAAATTTGTGTTATAGTGTAGGTAGACACTAAAATAAGTACTGCGAGGGCAGCCGAACAGAGCAATATCATGTTTTCTCGTTTGATAATTTGATGAAATTAATTTTTCGCATACGTATTGGTCTCGAGTGAGTTTTTTGGTTGTGATATTGTGAACCCCAGTGTTCACTCGGCTGTGGACAGAAATAGACCACTCTCAATGTGTGTCACGCGATCGTCTGTTTAAATACTCGGCAACAACCATTGTGTTGTCCTCCTCATTATTCTTCATCAGCAGTTCTTTCAGTCGATGCGTCGTCGACTTTGGAAAGCAACAATGCTACAATGGAAGCGCTCTGACCCTCGTTGGCGAATCTGCCATAGAATGAAACCACTGGAAGCGATTCCCGTTCTGATGGAGGAGGCTTATTGGACAGCGGAAGATAAAATGTTTATTGTGTTGTACCTTTTGACTATAGTTTTAAGATATATTGTATAGTGAACAAGAATCCTCGGCTCTGTAAAGTTAATTCGGTTGAGCCTTATCAAATAAATTAATTTAACAAAAAAAATGTGAACAGGTGATTGGATTTTATTAGTTCCTTCCCCAGTGCACTGTAGTTTAATTCGATCTAATAGATTTTGTTTTTGCAAACGTTTTGTTCCGGAATTGCTGCTGCATATGTAGTGCTTTGTGTGCTGCTCTCACATTCTCTTGTAATACGATATGGCCTTGCTCACGGTTGATCTATTGTTTGATGCAGTGGGTTAGTTTTTTGGCTACGCGAGTGTGGTGTGTTCGAAGAAGAATAGATACCGGAAACACATTCGATCTTGCAGTGTTTGAGCGGAGCTGGAGGGAAAGTGACACGGAAGAAGTGATGATAATATCGTGCAGAGGGTGTGCGTGGAAGCATCTGTCTAGCCCGTCACAGGACGCTGATCATGAGTTGAATAATGAGTGCGTTCTTTTGATTTTTTTTTCCATTGCTGTTATTACGCGTTTACTACGTTTAGGCTGTGCTCCATTTGGTAAATTTTCACTTAAATTTGACACAGCGTAAATAAATTATTATGTTCGAAAATCCATCTGTTGTTGATCGTCCGATTCTCGAAAAGGTGTTTGTCTAAATTGATTCCTTGTCTGGCAGAAATAAGTCTGGTAGAATAGCAGATTTATTTAAAAATTATCCATCTGTCAAATTCAAGTGAAAATTCATTAAATGGAACACAGCCTTACTGTGTTGCCCGGTTTGCGGTGGGTGTGAATTTATTAAGAATATGTTTGTGCTTAAACATGATCCGTTTTGGTGGAGAGAACGAATTTCGCGATCGTTATCGAGAATTTTGTGATAATCGTTGCCGGTACATAGACAATAAGGTGATCCATGAGCTGCTTTGCAGTTGACCTGACTACTAAAAAAAAGTTAAGGGTTGTTTCCAAAGCACGACTGCATTGTTGACGTAGAACTACGAGATTGTTTTTGGTGCTCCATTCACTAATATATTAATAACAATATGAATTGTTATTAATATATTAGGTTTAAAAACTTAACTCAAAAATGAACAATTCATCATTCAATTTTTTTAAACTGGGTAGTTATTGAATAAATCCTAAAATTAGGATTACCTTTGGCCGCTTTCTTGTTGGCTCGACACAATCCAAAGCGTTCAGCAACCGCCCGCGTCTGTTTCGCATGTTTCCCTGCCTCCTGGTCTCTCACGCGCTTCCGATAATCGCGGAGATATTTAGCAGCCATGTGTGAGACATTTTGAAGATTTTTACAGAATTTCTCAACAAACACTTGTTTCACTTCGAATATTGACTCTATCCAACGCGTAGTGTAAACACTGAAGCACTTACTGTACCAATTGGAATTTACAGAATGCTACAATGCATAATCACGATGGTGTTTCAATATGATGTCTGTGTTTGGGAAACAATCACAAAATGAAATTTTGATTGCCTTTCTTTTTGCACACGCCGGTAAGCTACACAGACTGCTTCCATCATGAGTAGTTTGCTATCAAGTAGCGACACTCTTCTTTTGCGTAGTTTGCCAATGTCAATACCTTGAAAGCAAAGGGCAATTAACGAGTTATTAATGAAGGATGAAGAGAATCGATCAAAATCACTTGTACCCCTGCTTCCAAGTTTGGTTATAAGATTACAACTCTGGAGAGCATTTTGTGTGGTCGTTGGGGGCGTGTGGTTCTGAATATGGACAAACAGGTACAGATAAATTTTATTCCAACTCTTTACTGTAATAAGCTTGTTAGCTCTGCATATGGCCGTTTTGTTGCCAAAATTGGTGATGATTTAATCTCCGAAATCGTACAGAGTGCGCCTGTCACTTCAAAACGTAGACGACATCGGTTGGCGTGTTCAGAGTAGGTGACAGCATCACGGCTCACATTTTTCAGGAAAACCTTCAGCACAACTCGTGTTTTCTCGTAGATCAGACCAGAGATACATTTGACCACGGCGAACCAGACGACGGATGGCGGTTATCACGAAGAACCTTGCGATGACGCTTGGCACCTTCTTTACCAAGATCTTTTCCTCCTTTGCCACGACCAGTCATTGTTGCTTGTTAGGTAGAATAGTGGACTACCTAACCTGCCACCACCGTCCTACTGCTCTTATTGCTGCTTCTGCTGCCTGCTCACCACGCCGTCCGAAGCGAACATGAGTTGAGGCTAGACAGCAGCGCTCTTTTAAATCTTTTCAGGTTGATGTGCAACCAAATAGCACTCGATTATGACGAATGGGTTTCGGAAGAACGTTTATTTCATGAAAAAAGTGATACATTTATCACTTTTTATTTGTATATTGGAAAATGCTTGACATTTCCACTTTTTAATAATTTTTTGTTTCAAAATCATCAGTCGGAAGCATTGCTATTGATACGTAGAAATATTTTTGATTGATTGTTGATAAAATTATTGAAATTGGTCCAAGGGCTGCTGAGCTATTAATGTTCAAAATCTTCCATAATTTTGTTACATGTTCCATTTTCGGTTTTCACAAAGTGTACCCCCATATAGAATTAAAAGACGTAGTCCTACGTCAAAAGCTGTGTTGCCGATGCAAGATTTATATATAAACAAAGCTATAGAGCTTTTTACGTTTAATCGACACACGTTTCTCGGTAATATATGTAGAATGCATGATGCGGGACATTATTCCATTTGAATAGCTTCATGCCGGCGGTTTGCGATTTGCTTACTGAGCAGAAGACCCTGGGTTTCATGCGAGGTTTCATCTGAGGTTTCATCCCAGACCATTACATTACTAAGTTTTTGTTTTCTTCGATTTGTTTTTCGTCGATCTTGTTTTCCGTACTGAGTACCAATGCTACCGACGCCAGGGAGGCAGCTCCCACACATATTTGACCCCCATCAATTCATAGGACCGGGGTCCAACGGCTTTACTTCCCTCCCAAAGGAAGGCGTCGTGTGATCAGAGATCCCGGCGGCGCCATCTGGGATTGAACCCAGGCCCTTTGGAGTGAGAGGCAATCACACTTACCACTACACCACCGGCGTCGTTGCCCTTTGCAAAGTTAACAATCTTCCACGAAGCATTTAGAAACCGAGAATTCGAAGATTTTACAGTTAGGCCCGAGCGAGTTCTGAATCGTGGAATAAAAATATGTTTTATTTGAGGCATTGAACATGATTACCAGAAAAATGACGATGTAGGACATGTTTCAACACATTAGTCTGTTCGACAGTATACTAGAGGTGGAATAGCGCAAGTACATTGGATAGTCTCTTGATTGTCTTTGATAGTTTCCAACGAATCTCCTATTCCCAGTGTGAGGTTTCCATACTTGCAAGCGTGATCCGATCTATTTAAGTTGTTGGATTCCACCTTCACTTTGTCAGTTTCCTTTGCTGTAAATACGCAGAAATGTTATTAATATGTCTTCAATCACGATACATTAAACTAAACATACGCAATCTCCAGAACCAAGGACAACAGTAGCCGTCTTTGTACACCGGTGCACCGCCTCCATAAAGTTTATCTACTTCATGAATTTCAAAGCTACACCTATTTTCATAGCAATTAGCGTTCTCTTCAGTTTTGGTTAGATCAAATTCAGCTGAACAAATACAAGTCTGACACGGTTTGTCAGATATATGCATTTGCTCACCTTCGCGGAACGATTTGTCACCGATTGAACATGTTGCTAATTTTGCTCTATCATCTCCGCAAACTTTTCCTGAAGAACAACAGCTGCTTGGTTGAAATTGATGGACGCAATCCGGTTCACGAGGGCGGAAAAATTCCGGGCAATCAATGTGTGCATGAATAAAGGCTGCTGGTCGACCTTCGTTGCCACTAAGTAGAAAAGGGATTTATTTGGTTTAATTTTGGATATTGTCACAGTGCTATTTACACTTACACATTACATGACACTAATGCTGTGCAAAACTCTGATGTCTCCTCAGAAGGAACATTTTCGTTGATATCATATACTTTCCCGAGAAGGTAGCACTTATCCTTCTGACGGTTTGTTAGATTTGGACAATCATAGCTCAATGGGCATCCCTTATCTGTCTTTTGCTCGCTCGGAATACACCCCATGGTGATGTAGTGTTTAATGGGATGGTCACATGCCAGCAGAAAAGATGCTTGAATACAGTAAACATTTGAATGTTGGTTCCAACAATGATAGAAATAAGTGTATTTCAACAGAAACAAAAAAAAACAAACAGAAACTCCAACTCACCGAAACTCGCGAAGGTAAGCAACACAAACGTTTGTCTCATCATCACTGAATGAACTGAATGAATGCTGTAGAGGACACTGCCGTTTTATTTCATCTGGAGAAGAAAAGTTAACAATGTTCCGATGTATTCCACATCGTTCACTAATGACACAGTTTATTAAAAACCATCAGCAGACTGTTTTACCTTTCTTAAACTTAAGAGATGAACTAGAATACGGCTAAAAATCTCTATAATAAAGTATGAAAAAAAAAATCTTTTTAAACTGAAGAATGGTATACATATTGCTTGAGATCTCAACTTTCGTTCATGTTCGTGTATCACAAAATTTTAAAGCAAACCTCTCCATAAATAGCTTTATAGATTGAAAATTACAAAAAACGTTATTGCGTATTTTCCACCAAAGTAGACACTAAACTAGAATATAACAGCACTACATTTTACAATATAATATGGGAATATCTGTGGTACCTAAAACATTGAAACTCAATCATTTTAATTTTTCTGGCCCGAGAAATTTGATTTATTAGTATACTTTGGTGCAAAATGAGAAATATTTTTTTTATTAATAATTGTTTATGTGTTTTCATTCATGCAATCGCAAATATGTTAGATGATGTTTTGAATACTTAAATCCATAAAATATAGTAACGTTATGCTTGACCAACAATTTGATTTTTAAGAAGATAAAAATATAATTTAGATATTATAGAACATTTTTAAATATTCTAAGGATTATCCAGAAGGTCATAAACCAATTTTACATGTTTAATTCAACATATAGATGTTTCCATCGTAGCAAAATTGGCATTTCAAGGTAAATTTCTCTTTAAAACGAATCTATATGGGGATGTTACCAACGCTCTTTAATTATTTCACGTATTATTCATAAAATTGTTTATTAACCCATCATTATTTTCAGTTTGATTCAATCCTTCTTATTTTTCGTCATCGTACACTGCGCCAACGGTGGGATCTGGCATGAACACTTGTAGGTATATTGATCCGTAACCTCAGGTACCAACGAGTCACCAACGTTCAGTGTTAGCTTGCCATATCTACACTGCGAAGCAGAATCTTTCCCTTCTTTATTTGCAGCAATCTCAACCAACCGGTCCGAATCCTTTGCTATGAAATAAAAACAAACAAACAAATAAAAATCAAGTTTTGAACATTCGATGCAATCATCATAAATTTTGAAACCTACGCATCCTCCATTCCCAGGGACAGCAACGGTCTTCATAATACACTGGAATCCCTCCGTTGTATACATGCTTAGAATAAAACAGCTCAAAACCACAAACGGACTCGTAGCAGTTGGGATCATTTGCGATATTTGACTCATTGAACCCTTTATGGCAGATACAGGCTAGACATTTGTTAGAAGTGGGATACATTCGTTGACCAGCCAGGTATATTTCGTCTTTGATCGCGCATTCGGCAAGCTTCTTCTTATCATCGCCGCATACCGAACCCGCTGAACAGCAGCTATTTGGTTTGTAGGTACGAATACAATTTTCAAAATCAAAACGCTGGAAGAACTCAGCACAATCTACATGCGTGCATCGAAATTGAGCAAACGGGGAACCACTGAAATGAAAAATCATCGTGAATGCACAATTAGTGATAAGTTGTTTGGAATAATAAATCTTTTAATCACCTTCGACAGTAGCACAAAGCCGAACAAAACGGGTACACCAGCTCGTTCGGAACCTGTTCATTCAGGGCATAGGTTTTACCGTTGAAATAGCACTTGGAGTTGTCATGCTGGGTCAAACTCGGGCAATCAAACCTGGGGAATGAAATATTCATATCAGTATAATAACAGAAAACAAGGAGCTTGCTTTAATTTTACCTTGTCGGACAGCCTGAGCCATTGGCTCCGATCGGAGTACATTTCATGGTTGTGTAATGTGTTGTTGGTACATCACAACCAATGGCGATGGATACTACGGTTTAGGAAGGAATTTGATCAATAATTCGTCGTGATTTTCCTATGATTAATCTTACCCGCAGTAGCCAAGCACATGAAAATAGCCCTCAACATTATTTTGCCGAGATAAAGGTTACCCAAATAATGTTCGAAAAGTACATCAAAACAGAGAAACGATGCAAACGGTACGAAGCGCTCTGAATAACTAAATTAGTGATTATTCGGAAGATGAGATTTATAATGAGCTGAGAGAGATCAACAAGGCACTATCAATAAGACAACTACAGCAAAGGGGATTACAAAAGTGTAAAGTGTGCACGGGAAAAAATCCGATCTCCGAAATGGGAATAATGACTCATGATTTCATGAACAAAGCGTATTTTCATGTTATGAAAATACACCATGAATACACAGCAAAAAAATAATTTTGATATCACGTCAAAGTGGATGCACTACAATCATGTCGAAAATATGGTGTAATATTACTTGCTAAAAAGGACAAAATTATCATTAATACAATGCATGAACTGACATTACGCTGCTTTTACTGCATTTGTTTATTTATGTGGTCATAAAAATTACATGAAATTTTCGACATGATTGTAGTGCATCCACTTTGATGTGATATCAAAATTATTTTTTTGCTGTGTAATATTCATGATATCATGAGCAACTTTTGCGTAACGCAGCAAACATTCCCAAAATCATGAATCATCCGAGTTGAAAACATGAGCTAAATTCATGGGTTTAACTTTTAACCAAAAAATGTAAAAAGAATAAAATAAAGCATCAGACTGGATTCGAACCAGAGCCCTGATATTATTAGTCTCATACTTTGACCACTAGACTATCAGTACTTGTATAGGATTGAAGACAAAAGGCGTATAATAGATACCTATGTAGTGTGGTTTATGAACATGGTTTGCCAAGTACGTGTAACGCTTGTAGCGGTCTTGATTCCGCTGCATTATGAAATCATGATTTTCCATGACGAAATCATGAATCATTGTTACGATTTCATGGGATGGCAAGTTTTTTCATTTCATGATTTTTTATTCATGAAAATGGAATCGGCTTTGTTTCCGTGTGGTTGCTCATACCGCGGGTGCATAGAATTTGTGATTTCCGTCATGCTAAACACAACCCCCTTTCAAATGCCGTAAAAAAACTTTTTTTTTGTTTGCCCCAACCAGAGATATTAACATTTGAAATGAGCATATTTTTAGTATATAAACGTCAATAACTCTTGATCGGCAAAAGATATTGACAAATTTTGTGCAACAAAAATTTGCGCCTTCTTAAGATCTAAAAGTTATTCGAAGACATCTTTGCTGAGAAATTCGAAATAAGAAAACTAGAGCAAAAAACTGTTTTTTTAAGAGCCACCCTAACTGAATTCAAGAAAAAAGCTCTAAATCGGCCAATTTATGAGATGCAAAAAAGTTATTTGGAACAAAGTTGCTTGAAATTAGCTCAGCTATAACTTTGCCGAAAAATGTATACCTTAATTTAATCAAAAAAAAAGATAGATTTTTGATTTTAATGATAATAGGAACCACCCTAGAATTCATTGTCATAAAAATGACGGCCTAACTATAAGGAATAACATTGTAGAAGAGACTTATAGTCTAAAGTTTCAATTTCATGCTCAAAACATATCATTCCAGCTAAATCTGCATTCTGGACCACTGTGCAATGGCTGAAGCCACCCACCATTTTGAGTGGATGCATGAACACTCCATGCGCTCAGCTGATACTTTAGTCACCCGCATTGTTGAATGAATCCATAAGCACTACGGTGTGTCAGCTTAACAACCGCTGTTTTCCATACAATTTCCCATGCAAAATTTAAAATTCGACGCTAATCCAGATCATAACCAAATTCGTTCAAATTTGGCAGTTGGTCGGGACCTCAATTCATATCTAAAGAGCAGTGCCAAGCAGGGGGTTGTGATCCGCCATACAAACATGACCCACCCTAATGTTCTTGATTCCACTTAAAATTGTGGGTGGCTTCCATAGGCGTGTGCAGGCCTCTTGACGAGGGAGGGAAAGCCATCCAATGTCATATTCTAGACGGTATCGGTGAGTACAGTTATGGGCGTCGTACATTTTTAGCAAGATAATATTTACCGACAGTGGCTGCTGAACTTATGATATCAAGGAGAAAATATCGGAACTGCTAGTCATTAAATGCAGATGATCCTTAAATCTTTAAAATAAAACATCCAGAGGATTTTAAAGAGATGTTTAAGCACCTACAGATTTTTTAAATAGTTTATGAGCAAGATGATACTATGAGAGAATTTATGACAGATGAGATAACTTCACCACGAACCACCTTTGAGTTCGGACGCGCGTTCACAGCGTTCTTGTATATATTTTACCATTCAAACTTTATTTATTTTTCATACCTTTTAATAACTGACCCGTGCGCGAGCCCCGCGTTAGCATTTTCAAGTAGCAAATTTTTACTTTTTTTTATCACCCGACGCGAGTGCAATGAAGTGCGGTATCGTGAATTGCGTGCAAAATGACAATCGTTTCCTATGGCGCTGCCATGGTGCCTGCAATCGGACTTTCCACGCAGCTTGCGTAGGCGCACAGCGGAATCATGAAGAAATTTTGCTGACCTTCATGCTGCCTCTTTGCCAAGACTGTCAGGAAAAGTTCACCGCTGAACTTAACATGAAGGAACTGTCCAAGTCTTTCCAAAATATCACGGAAAACATCGGACATACATTGGCAGCAAACCACAAACTCCTCATGAATTTCAAAAGCCTAAGAGCGACTCATGACGAAACGCTCGACCACATTGAGAAAATGCTTGTCGACGTAAAACAAGCCATTTCAAACCTCGCCAGCAGCAGCAAGACTAGTTCCACTAAAATAAAAAGTAAACTGTCAGCACTTTTGGACACACCTCCAGCAGACGCCTGTATCGCTCGTCAACTCGGCAGCAACAGCAGCAGTAGAAGCCATCACATCAACAACAACAGCAACAGTGCACTCAATTGACCTAATTCCACAATTAATTATGGAAATTAAGAACGACTTAGCGGACTCAAATGCTATTCTAGCTTCCGATGTAAAAGCACATATAGAAGAAATGGCAAAAACCTGAAGCAGCACATACTGGCAATCCAATTGCATGTAACAACATAGAAATTGAAATGCAGAACGTCGGTGCCGAACCAGCCCCCAGCTGGCGAATGCTAGGAAATAAAAAAAATATGGAAACGCGACTGGACTGCATTTGACACCAAACAGCGTTCCCGTCGCCTTCAGGAAAAATAAAAGGAAAAAGCCAGACGTAGGCGAAAGCAACGAAAGGAACATCACCAGGAAAATTCATATCAGTACAACAACAAGAACAAAACAGACAACTACAACAATAACAAGAACAACAATAACAACAACAGCAATAATAACACCACCACCACCAACAACAACAACAACAACAACAACAACAACAACAACAACAACAACAACAACAACAACAACAACAACAACAACAACAACAACAACAACAACAACAACAACAACAACAACAACAACAACAACAACAACAACAACAACAACAACAACAACAACAACAACAACAACAACAACAACAACAACAACAACAACAACAACAACAACAACAACAACAACAACAACAACAACAACAACAACAACAACAACAACAACAACAACAACAACAACAACAACAACAACAACAACAACAACAACAACAACAACAACAACAACAACAACAACAACAACAACAACAACAACAACAACAACAACAACAACAACAACAACAACAACAACAACAACAACAACAACAACAACAACAACAACAACAACAACAACAACAACAACAACAACAACAACAACAACAACAACAACAACAACAACAACAACAACAACAACAACAACAACAACAACAACAACAACAACAACAACAACAACAACAACAACAACAACAACAACAACAACAACAACAACAACAACAACAACAACAACAACAACAACAACAACAACAACAACAACAACAACAACAACAACAACAACAACAACAACAACAACAACAACAACAACAACAACAACAACAACAACAACAACAACAACAACAACAACAACAACAACAACAACAACAACAACAACAACAACAACAACAACAACAACAACAACAACAACAACAACAACAACAACAACAACAACAACAACAACAACAACAACAACAACAACAACAACAACAACAACAACAACAACAACAACAACAACAACAACAACAACAACAACAACAACAACAACAACAACAACAACAACAACAACAACAACAACAACAACAACAACAACAACAACAACAACAACAACAACAACAACAACAACAACAACAACAACAACAACAACAACAACAACAACAACAACAACAACAACAACAACAACAACAACAACAACAACAACAACAACAACAACAACAACAACAACAACAACAACAACAACAACAACAACAACAACAACAACAACAACAACAACAACAACAACAACAACAACAACAACAACAACAACAACAACAACAACAACAACAACAACAACAACAACAACAACAACAACAACAACAACAACAACAACAACAACAACAACAACAACAACAACAACAACAACAACAACAACAACAACAACAACAACAACAACAACAACAACAACAACAACAACAACAACAACAACAACAACAACAACAACAACAACAACAACAACAACAACAACAACAACAACAACAACAACAACAACAACAACAACAACAACAACAACAACAACAACAACAACAACAACAACAACAACAACAACAACAACAACAACAACAACAACAACAACAACAACAACAACAACAACAACAACAACAACAACAACAACAACAACAACAACAACAACAACAACAACAACAACAACAACAACAACAACAACAACAACAACAACAACAACAACAACAACAACAACAACAACAACAACAACAACAACAACAACAACAACAACAACAACAACAACAACAACAACAACAACAACAACAACAACAACAACAACAACAACAACAACAACAACAACAACAACAACAACAACAACAACAACAACAACAACAACAACAACAACAACAACAACAACAACAACAACAACAAC